GAATAAGGGACCGATGACCTCATTTCAAAACCAAATTAACCAAATTAAAATAAATTACTAGAAATTAAAAGAAAAATAAATACAAAATACAAAGGACGATCTTTTCGAACGGAAGAGTTTTGTTGTCTAAAAGAGGGAACTTTATTTTGAAAAGACTGAGAAGACTTCATGTAATGAGCAGAAGTTTACACTTGTTGGGCTTTCGTAAGAAAAATGAGTAACTTTTTTGTAAGATATCATACGGACGGTTGTAAGAGGATACGATGCATTAAATCACACGCGGATGAGTCACAGGAGTAATCATGTGATATGATATATAAGTTTACAGCCCTAAACAACATCACCATGACACGTGGACCTGCCAGCCTCCAGGTAAGTCTCTCCAAATACAGATTTTAACATTAATAGGAGAGTTTTGCTTTCATGCCAGGAGCCGTCATGTGTCAGATCTCACGCTGACATGATGTCGTGTGTTCCAAGCTAAATACATATAACCCCCCCCCCCACCCCCCGCTCTCAGACCTGGTCCAAATTTGGCACTGTTGGTCTGTGAACAGGCATTTCCCCCAGGGGGGGGGGGAATGACAACATGGTGATTTTCCCACAGGAAAATAAAAACATCAACTCTAACCCACCAGAAATTCCCCCGGTCAGAAACTCATGTGCACACACACACACACACACACACACTTTGACTTTAACAAACGCACTCAACCATACCTATTCTAAGGCAAATGATATCACCGGTATGATGTTAAAAAGACAAACATTCCCCCAGTCTAAATGATGTTATTTTAACTTTAATATGTTAGCACAAGTGGTCGAATTGCTGTCCACAGGAACTGTTAGCGCTGGCTTTTAGAAAGCCTTATTGATCAACAGTGACATCATCTCATCTTACAGAGAGGTGTGCGTAAACACAGATCAACGTTTGTGTTGGACTACGTGCTGCCACCGGAACAATCGCACACTGTACGGGACGTTAAATGTATTCTTTTCGCAGATCAATAATTTTCATGTGAGCCGAATCAATGGCGTCAAACACAAACAGTCGCATTCATGTGAACAGCAGCAGAAGGAGCCACGTGAGTGGAACACAGCAGGACTCTTTCTGCTGGAACCAGAGCCGGAGGAATGCATCACACGTCGGCACGTCACTAAAAACATCTGTAATCAGCTGGAGGAGGATGAAGCACATTCACTTTGCTGTCGGGATAAACATTACCGGATTTTCACATGTTTTTACATGTTTTTGGGGAGTAAAATTTGGTGTATTGAAGAGTTAGAGGCATCAAAGTTAACCGAAAACAAACAAAGTAAGAAGTATTTTTGAGCAAAAGTAAAAGTACTAAACCGTTGTTAGCAGCATGTTCTTCTTCTCTTCTGAGCTGTTGTTTTGGGATTATAAAACTCTGAATTAAAGGCCAATAACACCGGCTTTTATAACCGCTAATACTTCAGCTCTCCAGTACAAATCCACACAAATGATTCATGTAGAGTTCAACTTTGTTGAACAAATTCACACCATTGAAAAAACAAGAGATGACCTTTGAGGAAACAGATATAATCCCGTCATCAGTAAAACTATATTTTTACACTACATGCAACCAGTGAACAGGAAGTGACCATATATGGACTGAGGAGGCGTAATGTAGAAACTGTAGCCCCGCCCTAAAGCATCCCCTGCTTTATGGTCTGTTTGACTC